GAAGTCCTTTGTTGAAAGAGCTGAAGGATGAGATAAGATAACTTTGGTATTGGAAGGTAGGAACAGTATTATTGCGGAGTTAGCCATGCATTTAAACGGGTGGACCATTGTTCTTTTCAGTCTAACCGGTGCTAATGCTAATCCTCTGGCTGGGTGAACCAAGTAGGTGTCATCGTGTTTCAACCTCTCACTGTCTGGTGGCATTGAGGATTTGTTTTATTTTTGGTGGGGAGATCAGTATTTGAGATTCTTGTTGTAGTGTGAGGTCTGAAACCGCGTTGGGGTGAACGGTAGATCCATCCATCCATTTTCTTAGTCCTAAACAGGGTCCGGGGGGCTGGAGCCAATCCCAGCCAGCTGTGGGCGAAAGGCGGGGTACACCCTGGACAGGTCGCCAGCCCATCGCAGGGCCAACACACAGATGAACAACCACTCACACACACACACAATCACTCCTACGGGCAATTTTAGAGACACCAATCAACCTATGCTGCACGTCTTTGGACTGTGGGAGGAAGCCGGAGCACCCGAAGAGAACCCACGCAAGCACGGGGAGAACATGCAAACTGTGAACGATAGAGAATAGTATTATTTGTGGTAGACGCGAGAATCCAGCTAGTGGTTATAAGGTAAGTTCTCCAATCTCCACTGTTTTGAGCGTGTTCAGCTCCAGGTTGTTTGTCATCCTACATAGACTGTTGTATCATCAGCAAACTTTAGGAGCTTGATGGAGGGGTCCTTTGAGATGTAGTCGTTGGTGTAGAGTGAAAACAGCAGAGGGGAGAGCACGCATCCCTGGGGGGCGCCTGTGCTTATTGTCCGGGTGCTGGATGTGGTTTTCCCCAGCCTCACCTGCTGCTCCCTGTCTGTGAGAAAGCTCGTAATCCATTGACAGGTGGGGGCAGGCACAGTGAGCTGGGTCAGTTTGGAGTGGAGGACGTCCAGGATGATGATGTTGAATGCTGAGCTGAAGTCCACAAAGAGGGCCCATGCATAGGTCCCTGGGGAGTCTAGGTGTTGCAGGGTGTAATGCAGTGTCATGTTCACTGCATCGTCCACTGACCTGTTTGCCCAGTAGGCGAACTGCAGGGGGTCTAGCAGGGGTTCCACGATGTCCTTCAGGTGGGCCAACACCCAGTCTTTCACAAGACTTCATAACTAAAGAAGTCAGGGCGACAGGTCTGTAGTCGTTCAGTCCACTGATGGAGGTTTTCTTGCGGACTGGAATGATGGTGTAGTGTTTGAAGCAGGAGGGGACTTAACACAGCTAGCACAGTCCTCCACAGCAGGGGGGGAGGGTTTTCTATAGCCAGTGATGTTTTCAGGGTCCCCCACACAGACGAGGGGTCGTTGGCTGAAACCTGTGTATGGATGCTGATTCAGCATCCATACCATGTTGTCCTATTATTATTATTGTGTGGATGCTGAGTCAGCATCCATACTATGTTATCCAATTATTTATTATTGTATGGATGCTGAATCAGCATCCATACTATAAAGGAGGATGGTACATGGTAAGTCTGCAAGTCTCATCATGTAATTTAACACCTCACTTGTGTGGGGACTGACAGGCGGATTTAATGTGTTTGGTACATCCTGTTCTCCACAGTCTGAGTCAGTTTGCATGCTGCAGTCTCACACGTTTACAAAGTCATCCTACATAGAGTAAATGCTAGCACAACATCAGACATTAGAATTGATTAAAATCAACAGCTGTTTCTCAGTAAAGTCAGCCTGGCACATCCTTAATTGATAAACTAGCAAAACATGGACTTCAAAAAATCAGCACAACCGAGACACCCTCTAAACAGTTACAATGTGCATACTAAGGCAAAATGCAGCATCCCCATATTTGGCCAGTTTAGTTACCATTTTCTGGTATTTGACAGGGAAGATTTCTAACCTTGGCACATTTAGGCACATACAGCACGAGTTACTTTGATTCCTCAATATTATTCAATTTTAAATCCATGAATGCTATCACCGTTTATTTTAGTTCAGGTTTGTTTAATTCGTATAGTTCCAAATCACAACAAAAATCATCCCAAGGCACTTTACAAAGAGAAAAACCTAACAAATCCCTCTTGCGCAAGCACTTGGCAACAGATTATCCACACAAATGATCACCATTCAACATTTTGACTACTTTCAGTTTTCAAATGATTTAAGCTGTTGGCAAATTGCGACATCTAGTGGAAAAAATTGTGATCCATAGATGTAGAAGCAACTCAACTCAACTCAACTCAACTTTATTTATAGAGCACTTTAACTCAGCCAGAGCCAAACAAAGTGCATAAGATTCCATTTAAAACATGTAAACATATAAACAACTACAGTAATAAAAAGAATAAAACAACAATAAAATTAAATAACTAAATAGTAAATAGCACAAAGTACTATCCAAAAACCAGAGCCCGAACAGAGTCTCACACCATATCAAACACCAAGGCATACAAATGAGTCAAACACAATCCAAAGACCGATTTAATAAGGGAAAAAACATTTAATCAAGGAAATGGACTTTTACTGGAGAACGTTTGATGCTGCATTCACATGCAATAAAAAAACTGTAATTTCAAAAAACAAACAAACAAACAAAAAAACCCCCACCTGTGACCCAGGGCCATTTCTGGACATTTTGGAAATGTAAGCGAGAGCACTTTTTCATTAAATGACAAAAGATCATTTTATAATGCTCTAATTCATTTCACCAGCTTCTGCTCTGTATCATGCCGTCAACATCTTCTTTCAATTTTATCTTTAGTCAGTACAGGAGAGTTTTGCCTCCATGTCACACTACTGTAGCCTACTGTAGAGCTATTTGAGGCAAATTTGTCATTTGGTCGGCTATACAGTTAAAATTGATTTCACTTGACTACTGGGACTACTGGGTGTTATTAATATGAAACCTTCACTCAAGCTATGGCTTTCCTGACTATATTTTATATTGTATTTAATATTTTTATAGTTTGCCATGATAATTGGATGGGCTATTTGATCAATAGGCTTTATAGTCTATATTTGGATAAAGACGTTAAGGTGACCATTTTTCATAATTTACAATGTATGAAAAAAACAGACCACGAATATTTTTGTTGCTTATTCAAATGCTTTTAACTTTGTACTCTCCCTAGTTCCCAGGCAGTGGGTTTTACCAAAAGCACTTGAACACAACGCGAATTCTCGGCGGCAGACACGGTCTTTTTGAAGTTGAATTTTCCGGCTGGAGGCGACTCTACATTCAGGTAATGTTGAAATTATTGCAGAAACGTTTTCATATAATGACATTTTATGTTACTGCCTATGCATGGGTCAGAACAACATTCTGGTATGCCTATAAAAATAACAAAGTTATTGCTTTTTCGAACCGCGAAAACAAATGTTAGAAGGATTTAGAGTTACGCTAACATTAAAGCTGTCTGGTTTCACTAAAGCTGATTTCACATATGTTGGTTTTCAGTTAGGATATTAACGTGACAACACCATAAATCGGTGGGAACATGTAGTATAGGAATACCAACAATGTAACTCCAAAGTAACGTTAGGCTACTATCACTTCGCCAATACACTTAGGCTACATTGATGCCGATTCCATTAACATTCCAAATCGAAATGCCATGATCCATTTGTTAGCGGAGAGGTTTGTTCAGGCTGCCCGAAGTGTAATATAAAACATCACAGATACCCTTCATTAACTTTGACCCAGTGAATTTAACACACCCTATAAAGAAACACAGGTTAGTTCTTAAAATGACAGGCTACCTTATGAAACCTGTTTGCAGCAGCTCTAGGTTGCTATTGCATGTAGGAAGTGGGTACTTCATCTAATAAATCTGCCCACTTGTTAGTGGACTAAAGCTGTAATTCAGAATGAGAGCTCAGTTACAGCATACTTTATCATATACAGTAGATACTATTTAAAAGCAACTGGAGCTATTGAAAGTATTCTGCATATGTCCTCTGGGCAATACACTAGACTGACTCATCATCCCATTGATATGTACCTTGGAGTTTTTACAGAGGTTGCTAAATCAAATGCCAAATCAGAAAGAGTTGGGACAGTATGCAAAATTAAAAGTGATTATAGTGATGTGTAAATCATCTGTGTCCTGTATTACATTGAAAACAATACAGCAGCACATTATTTGATGTGATGCCTCATCAACTTTATTCTTTGTTCAACATAAACACTCACTTCATTTGTGATTCCTGCAACACATTCCAAGGGCACAAGCCTAAGTTGGATGACCGTGCTCTCCTATCCCTCAGACGGCACGACATCAAGAATCATCACTCTTCTATGTCATGTACTGGGGTTGTGTCAGTGCCCTTGGCAAAGGTCACTTACACTTGTGTGAAGGCTCCATTAATGCTGTAGAATACATAGAGATGTTGGAGCAACATATGCTGCCTTCAATATGACGTTGTTTCCAGGGACACCCATGCATATGTCAACAAGACAATGCAAAGCCTCATAGTGCACATTGCCAAGGCCTGGCAGTGGAGGAAAAGGGTGTGAGTGCTGGACTGTCCTGCCTGCAGTCCTGACCTGTCCCTAGTAGAGAATGTGTGGCACATTTTGAAACAGAAATTGCATCATCATAGACCCAGGACTGTCGTGCGCCTTAAGATTTGTTTATAGGAAGAATGGGACAAAATGACACCTGACACACTTAATCACTTGGTGTCCTCAGTCCCTAAACGTCTTAAGTGTTGTGAAAAAGAACGGCAACATCACATCGTGGTAAATGCTTTACTGTCCCAACTTTGTTTGGAATGTGTTGCAGGCATCAGAATTGAAATGGGTGTTTATTTGGAACAAAGAATAAAACTGATGAGGTATTGCATTAAATAATGTGCTGTAGTATTGTTTTCAATGTATTACTGGACACAGATGATTTATACATCACTATTTTCATTTTAACTTTGATTTTACATACCACCCCAACTTTTTCTGATTTGGGGTTGTAAACACAAAGAAAATAGTTGTTTAAATCCTCATTAGGGTGCAGGATGCCCATACAGGCTTTAACCCGCCTCAAGCATGCACATAAACGATTTGACACACACAGCAAAGCATGCAGCATGAAAGTGCAAATACAGAGAAGCAAACTGTCAATAAACAGGAGAAGCATAACAAATATTTGAGTATGGGAAATGATGAGTCATACTTACCAACATTACAAAATTAATATGTCAGCAGAAAATAAATCAGTTTGATTTAATAATGTCAGTCTTTTTTTCCTCCATCAAAACACAGCCACACATCACAGGTTCTAGGTTCTCATGTGATGATTTATGAAAAAAATGTTAAAGAAATTAATTTTATATCATTGTAAACTACTGCATATCCCCCTGGATTTGGAATATTGGCCAAACAATCAGTAATAGCATCTAGATAAAAACAACACTGAAGCAAATTTTACCCTCAGGAAAATAATTATTTTCAGGGGTTGATTCACTTTCATGGTCATTTTGGAGCCTGGTGCTTGTGTGGCTGATGAATGGTCTTATATTGAGAGGTATTTCTAATAGTAATCTGCACTTACTTATCTAAAACAAGACAAATAAAATAGGCAAGATAGGACAAACCAATGCCCAAAGAGCAAAGTAACTGTAGACTGCTATGTATAATAAATGAAAAGCAGACACAGCAGTAGAATTGGTTTAGAAAATACTATAATTGCGATGATGTACCCAGTTGTTTTCATTAATCACGCACATGAAGTTGGATGTTGTTGTTTCCTTTTGTTAAAGTTAGTGTCTCATCTGTACATCTCTTGGATTAATATTCTCTTTCTGCTGCACAGACTCATGAGTGACTGTGAAGAGACAGACTTCTTCTGGGAATCTTGGACTTCACCTAAGAAGAAAAAAAGAAAAAAGGGCAAAAAACATATAAAATACAAAAACACTATCACGGTGAAAACAGACAAGTGTGTCCAGAAGAAAAAGAAGAAGAAAAAATCCAAATTCAAAGATGCAATTGAGGGAGGGAAAGAAAGAAAGCAGAAAGAAAGGAAGAATAAGAAAAATAAGTTGTCAGTAGGACAAGATGAGAGTTTTATATTTGCACAGGGTTACTCTGGTGAATCTGAACCAGTGGTGAAATCAAGAGCATCAAACCTTTGCAGCACTGAAAAGCTAACACCTGATCACCTGACTCAAGACTCAAGAAAAAAACTTAAAAGGAAAAAGAAAGTGGTGTTTGATTTATCGCCAGGCTACATGAGTGTCAAACGTCCTAAATTTGTCTCTTCGTATCTTCAAGACAACATCCTCCCAGGGAAAGACAGTGAGCATTGTTCACAGGTCACAGTGATGGGGCTTAGCCAGGGTCAACGACAAGACAGTGATTCTCAGTGCACCAGTGATATAAACAGCCAGGACCTTTTTATCACGCAAAAGACATTTGTAGCATTGCCCTCTGAACCCTCCAGTGGTGAAGCCAGTGACAAAGCAGATACTACAGCTCTCCAAAAAATAACACAGCAAGAAAGTGGGCAGTACTCCTCTGTGGTTCAGATCAAACATCATGAAGGATCAAACCCACACCTATGGGACCATTTTCATCAGCATCCCAGAAAGGCAAAAGAACACCTGCACATGCCAGAAACAGTAACCACTGTTATCAAAGAAGAAGATGAAGAAGAGGAGAAACAAGTGTCTGGGCCTGTGCATGTAAAACCCAGCATAGTGAATCCATACCTGGACGATCCAGTTGTAGTAAACTGGCCCATGCATGTATCAAAATCAAAGAAACACTCTTGTAAGTCAAGCCAACAGTCTCCTCTGTCTCCCGTAAAGAGAGACAAGCATTCCCTGCTTCCCCAGTTGCCAACAGCAAGCATTTCTACACAGACAGAAAACTTCTTCACCACTGAACTCTGTTCCTACCTCAACTTCTGCCAAAAAACTGGAGTGACTGGACATTTTGAAGGCTTAAAACCGCTAGACCTGAGTCTTCCATTCAGGGCCAGGAATAACCTCGGCAGGTGTTTGTCAGGTATTCATGTCAAAGTTGATGAAGAAAAGTCCGGTGATCAGAAACCATCATGTTTACCAGAAGGGATGAAAGTTAACGGTCACAGAGACCCCAACTTGCGTCTACCTTGTTCTTCAGATATGAAAGGTGCAGAGGTAAAGCCTTGTGGTCAGCAGCCGTGTTCTGTCAGCACTCAGGGTAAAGATGAAACAACTTCAAGCCTCCAGTCTGAGCCAAAGTCTGCAGACACAACAACCTCCGGCGAGGACGAGCCCCCCTGTCGCATCGCCAAACTATACCCAACCCAGGTGGTACCACACACTGGCCCGGGCAGCCACTAAATATATATGTACATTTTGTCATGCACAGTCTTAAATACTCATATTAGTTTCATTTTTCCCCACCTGAGAATTAACTCAGACTCTGTTCACTTATCCTTTTCACAGCTGTGCCTGATAAATAATGCCAAAATGTTTTTGTACTAATCAGAAAAAAGGTAACCGAAGGCTGTGTTCAGTAACAAAATGACTTTTTGCTTGACTACAGGTCAGAGCAGTTCAAATGAGACTCAATGAGTCCTTCTTTTTCAAAACAAAGGGAGAAGGCCAGTCACCCAGACCCGAGTCTCCACTGATGAAACTTGTTCAGGGCAGAGAGATGAAGAGCAGGAAGAGCCACTGAGGTCAGAAGGAAGGATGCAATTGAAGGTTTTTGGACACCTAGCATTGTAGTGTTGAAGTAGTCTGCATAAAAGAACACCACATGTGGGTGGACCAGGTAAATACAAGTCAAATCGTTATGCTAAATCTCATTCACATCAGTCAGAACAGTTTGTCTTTGTGATGTACAATAGACACTGAAAATCCATCTCAGAATTAACCCTTTGAAAGTAAAGAACACAGTCTTTATTGTACCGATAGTGTTTGGTTACGAGTAAATTGTTGCAGTGTTCTAGGTTTGACATTTGTCAGTATAAGGTTTGAAGTACACAGGTTTGTTTCTCCTTTAAATATCAGCTTAAGTGGCAGTTGCTTTCATTCTTTTACAAAAACTGTGACATCAAATTGTAGTTCAGAGCTTGTCTGTCGTTCTGTATGAAAACAACTTATCAATTAAAGTTCATATATTGTACAGAAACTGCGGTTTAGTTACTGGACAATCCATATGATATACTACATTTCAGTTGTTTTTAAGTACCCATTGAAGTTTCAGTGTTCAGCTATACATCACTGTCTTTATTAATCTCACCTCCATAGCAGTGTATACAGTAAATGCAATATGTCACATCATACAAAGGGTTAATCATCCATTTCTGCTAAAGCGCTGTAACTACACCAGGGAAGACATCCCATTGTACCAGCCTCTTAAGGATTACCTGCTGCTTTGACACTGACAAAACATTTCTTACAAAATGATTACCACTCTTCAAAAAGTCTATTGATATCATTGCTAGGTATTATAGCAACCTTCCACCTAAAATGAAAACTACTGTGTTAATAAAGGCATAAATCCACCCGTGGTTACTTCCCAAAATGAACCCATTTTGACATTAGGTCTTTAGATATTTTGTGGCACTCCTTTTCCTTCAGTCTGCTGTGTCTAGTGTGGCCATATGTTCTGCAATGTGTCTGTTTCTTTGGTATCTCAATCAAAGAAATGTATTACAGCAGTAATTAATTCTAGTGTTTGTGGAACAAGCAACAGCAGCTCCTGCTAACAAACACCACTATAATTGTGCTTGTAATTTCCTGATGTGTTCAAATGTGAACAAACCAACCATTTTTACCTTTTAGAGACAAAACAGGCCGAGAAATGTAAAATTCATCCCCAGTAGATGTTTAAATGGTTCTGAAGTGTTTTCAGGTACAATTTCCTCTAACAGGATGGAACCAGAGTGGCCTAATTGTGTCTAAAGAGCTTGATCCCTATCCAGCTCCAGAGGTGGAAGAAGACATAGACGGGGATGGTGACTGGCAGCAGCAGGCTGTAGAAGCACAGACTGCTGCTGCTGGTGCAGCCTTGAGGGAAGTTCTCATCCACAGCAGCGGAGTACAACAAACCAAAGAGGGACACTATTGGGATCAGTCCCACCATTAAGGACAGAGAGAACATACTTGCAGATGGGTTCTACTGCTGGAATAAATAAATATCAGTGATGTTAAATATATTCCACGTGCTTTTGGCCAGCTGGTTAGAATGCAGTACAAGTTGTCATTTGCATTTGAGTCGAACAGGATCCAGTTACAGAAGGACTGTGTCCTTCAGTCCAACAATATCTAAAAACACCACAGTGGCAAGTCTGTTTTGCATGGATTGGTTGTGTTGCTATTCTTGTGCTGGTGAGACTGAGGTGTCTGTATCTTTCTGAAGGAGTCTGGCTTCCTGGGGGATCATGTTGGGGATGCCGTCAGTGATGGGATAAGCGATGCCAAGCTCCTCGTTGATCAGCTCATTTGTCTTAGCCTCATATCTGTGGAGGGACAGGGCATAATTCTTCTGTAACACAGTCATACTGTTCTAAAAACAGTCTAGTTTATTCAAAACCAATGTTCTTATTAGAATGCAAAGCTGAATGAAATGTGTTTTAGTTTGTAGAAACTAAAGGTAAAGTAATCTTTCTCACAACGTGATTGCTTTAATTAACAGCCAATGTGATCCATTTGACCATAACAGACGATGGAGAGGAAACGGATGCCATCATTCCACTTGATAATATTTATTCAAGTCTTCAGTTTTATTCACATTTCACAAAATCTAACGGGTCGCTGATATTTACGTAACACCAGTTGAATGTTGGAGCACACGGAAGTGCTTTGCAGTGACTCTACTGCAACATGAATTTAGAATCTGCTTCAGTTTTAGTAGTGCAGTAGACAATGCTTTCATAAAACTGCTCATTCCGGCAAACTAGAACTTCCAAAAACAACACGTGGTTTTTGTGTGCCTCCCTTACCTCAATGGTTTCTTGGATAGCGGACATACGAGGAATTCAAGAAGGGAGGTATCAAATGGCTGTTCCACGTCATCCTTTACATCGGTAAAGCTCCGGATAAACACAGACGAAGGTGTTGTCCTTTGTATTAAAGGTGCATGCGTCACATAGCAATGAACACGAACTGTTTCTGTCACCAATCTACCCAAAACATTCCGATACATGACCAAAACATGGACCAAACCGCACCAGAAGCGATCACACACTCCACAACAGGAAGCACCTGTGTCGGTGTAACAGAAATATGAGTCCATTTCCTGGACAGCAGAGGTTGTTGTCAATAGATCCGCTTGTTGAGTTCTTTAGCAACTCTTTTTCAGAAACGTATATACGGCAGTTTTTTATCCGTCTCATACATTAAATTAAGATATTATATATGCGCTATTATAAATAATTGTTATTATAGTCGTAAATAGAACTTGGAGAATGATTGTTTTCTCAGTTTCCTCATTTGTCCGTGAGGTGGCAGTGTTGCCCTGTTCATCAGTTAAGCGATTTGACCAGAATATGGGACCAGGATATGATAAAGGAATATGAACAGGATTCAGATATACTACAGTAGAAAATGCATTGCTTCGATCCATTGCTTTCTACACTACTGTAATCAGTTTTTTTAAATAATAAAATTATAAAGACCACAGGCTATCACTTATACTAAGTGGAATAGTAGATATTTTGGGAATTTCACAACAGCCACTGTTTGAACAGTAGTTCCATTTAAACCCCATAGATGATATCCCAGCAGGTTATATATAATATCAAAAACTGTCAGAGCGTGGTAGCAGCCAGAGCGAAATGCATCCCCCCAACCATGTGGCTGAAGATATTGCTCTGAGACCTTGTTGGCAGGGCCCCAACTTCTTTTAAAACTGCTTCAAGCTATAATATATCCCACTGCTTGGTACATGACAGGGCTGCTAATATAGGTTTTCCCCCCTAGGTGCTAGGAATTGAATACAGCAGTGTAGAGCTGTAGCTGTGTACCTTTATTTGTTGGGTTCGTTTCCTCATGAGAGGCATCCATCATCTCAGACATATTCCACAGAGCACTCAGTCTGAAATAATACCGAACCGGATGACCTGTTCAAGCCAAAATATACTGCAATGTAGTACAAATTATTGTGTGATTGATATTATTGATGTTTAAGTTGAAACTGAGCAAGTCATCTTAAGAATAAAATACAGAAAATTACATGCAGACACAAAGAAGATGCTTTTGACTTTCAGTTAGTGCAGCAGTAAATATCAATCACACCAAGGCCATAAAAACATTAAGACCAACATCATATGTTTATCCTAACAAACTAGTTGGAGCACACTAGAGCCAGTTGGAGGCAACAAAAGGAGCTGTCTGATACATTTTTAGTAACATCTGGATATAACCACCCACCCACTGAAAGTCCTGATGTTCTGATCTAATTTAACACAACGGTGCCTTTGTAGTGTAATGCTGATGAAATTTCATATTGGTTATGAGAAAGCTATTAGGAAGGAACATTATCATGCAGTGAAAGCTAAGAATAGATAACAATCATTTTAAAGTCATTTTTGATATGGTGAGCCAAAGAGAAAGGCCTAGAGAAACTTTTGTGTTTTGTTCCATTAGTGAAAAATTAAACCTCATTCTAAATCACAATGAACATGTAATAAACATAACTGTAAAAGTTTTGGAAGATTTTGAACATAACCTTGATTATATTATAGTAATATGTCATTTGTTGTATACAATGTGGACTATACATTGTCTAGTTAAGGAGAGTGCAACGATCTAAGACTGGTACTTACTTGATATTCCTGTTTTTATTTCCCACATGCCAAACGTTGGTTAAATAACACCAGATTGTAGGAGACAAGTGTGCAATTAATCTCTTCACAGATGAAACAAGACACAGGTACAGCAGCGCATAAGTCATCATTGATAGCAGTGATATATACTTAAATAAAATCCTATTTAATACTATAATCAATTTAGCTATTTTAAAAGCAGCTGTACACCTTTTTGTATTTGGATTCACTTATTAAACAAACTTATTATTTTTGTGTGTGTTCTTTAATATTGTGTGACTGCAACATAAAGGAGAAAATAACAATTGCAATATATTTTGCCAACTGCCATGCTAATAAATCCTCATGGAAGCTGTAGTTTTTTGTATGTCAATAAATTGTTGTGGAGTTCTATTATAGCTGCTATAATCAATATTTTTACATCTACAGTGTTTATGAGAAAGGGAGTGACATTGTTATTGACAAACCTAGAGGATTATGACTCATCTCAGCAGGTACCCTAAGGCATATGGGATGGTTGGTAGAGATGGGAACATTTCCCATGTGAGCAAATTGTGACTTTTCACATCGTCTGGCAACTCACAACCACTATTTGCTTACAGAGGTGGTGGAGTGAGAGATTTAAAAAACCCCTGTGTGTTAACAATATACCACCATCTCCATAAACGTGGGTTTCATGACACTGAATGGTGCTTCTTGGCATATTTGTACTGTTTTCTGGCACTTTCATATTAGCTGTGCCAAGTCAGATCTATCAGCGTTTCCCAGTTATAACTGGGACTTGGATGTTGACATCAGTGTAAATGTTGCCATACAAGTGAGGAACTGGTAACTTTGATATGAATGCAGCATTTGCTCCACTGTTTTAGTGTTTTTCAGCTCATTGTTTTACTTTTAAGGCCTACAACTCTTGACTTGTTAATTCTCACATCTCATCAGCACATTTTTTGGTGACAGGCAGGCAGATGTTGTTGGTGTAAACTCTCCAATAAAACCACTGTCTGGTTCCTGCCCATCACCAAACAGCTGGCAGACAAAGTTAGCAACCCGTTAATCAACACAAAGGAGCATGTAGTAGCTATACTAAAGAGAAGCTAGTGAAACTGCAGCTTGGCTGGCGGTAACATCAGGACATCACTATGTTTTATTGTTTTATTGCAGCTTGCACCTTCCTTAGGTAAGTCTCCTGCTCTGTGATAACCTCTGTGTTAGACTCATGTTACAGCGAACAGTGGGTAGATGCAGACTACTGGATGACTGCACAAATCACTGCTTTAGTCTGGTGGGTTGATGTCAGTGACACATACCAGAGTACAGTAACTGAGAACAGTTCTGGTTTCAAGCCACTGGTCACATTGTCCTAACATCTCAGAAAAAAGACAGTACTTGGAGTCCATTTCACAAAGCCCTCAAGCTTCTCCAAGTGACAACACATGCCCCTAACCAACAGGTAGCTTGAACCTGGCAGGAGGCAGGGTTGTTACAACACTAATAACTTCTAAGCCTTCTGGGCATGGAAAAGGATCTTGCATAATCTCTCTGTGACACACACAAATGCAATTCAGCACTTCACCAGCAATAATGCCTTAAAGTGACTTGATAGATCAGACCTTCATGGCTGCATCTCAGGTTGGGAGCTTGTTTCTGTTATAACTTTCCCACCTGTGCTGTAATTTTTGCATGCAACAGATCTACAGAAATAGTGAAAAGATACACAATTCACAGCACCTTCTCTTCAAACCCCTCTGAAGTTTTCTTCAAGAGGGAAAGGTTGCTGTGCTTGAAAGGCAGCAGCATAGGTGTCCCACACTCCGCAGCAGCAGAGCAAGGGGTTTTTTCGCAGCCTGCATGGTCTTCACACACACTGATCATCAACCCTCCTCCTCCCACTGACATTTGACAGGGCTTTCATCAGTCCCTCACCTCTGCTGACCTTGTCAGAGCTGTTCACCTGTGTACAGACACTAAAGGTCTCAGTGAAGACTCCTTTGGCCTCTCTATGCTGTGTTTTTCAGGTTTGCTCTCCTAGTTTGTACTGAAGAGACATCTTCAAGAGTCAAGACCAGTGACAGACTTGAGAGAGCTTTCACGGTATGATGGTGACGCTTGAGGTTTCCTCTATTTCTTCCATTTTTTTCCCCAGACAGCTGTTATGGTGAATGGAAAGACAAAATGAAACCAAAACAGTGCACACCTTAATGCATGTGTTCACTGCATAATACAATATTTCCGCTCATTAGTTTAATTTCCATTGACCCATATAGGGAGTTTATGCTAATGCCAAATTGTCCTTCCTCAGGTTCCAGTTAAAGTTAAAACCTAATTCTTTCATTTTACTATCTCAACTTGATTTTAGGGATCCACTTACAAGTCCATTTCACAACTGCCTGAAGTTATGTTTGCCTAATTGCAATGATACTAAGTAATATCTTATATTTTGTCACTGTTCTACACATGGAATTAAAATAAAAAAAGGTTAATATAATGTATTCTTGGGTTTTCTACATGTGGCCTGAAGGAACTTATCCCACAAAATGAGAGTCTCTTTGTGAAATTGTATGGCTTACAAAAGTTAAAAGTCTATTCTAAGTTGGGTTCTGATAGTTTCCTTGCTGAGAATAGGTTTTTATCCAGTTATAAACAGGAGATTAGGGTATTTTTAACCTGCCAGGAGAGCTTTCATTTCCATGCTGAAATATTACTGATGTAGCATTTGCTGCTTAATCTGATAAGATCTCCAAAGACTTCCTTCTCCTCTGGTATTTCTTACAGGAGGAGAAGAAAGCATGCATGCAGCCTTACATTGTGCACTCCTTTCTGCACTCCTTATCTTCTCCTGCTTTCTACTGTTCTTACTCTCTACCACTTTCTCCTTTGCTGCTAATCTGATGTACGGACAGGCACAGATCTAAAGAAGCATTGCCCTTCACTTGGGCTTCTGTGGTCACCTGGCAACAGGGTTAACAAAGTACACTCTTCAGTTAAGTCTCAGTGGTTTCACAGCAGAAACGTGAGCCAGTGAGGTGTGAGCAAAGGTTGATGCACCATCATTACAACTTCCTTCAAGGCCCCAGAGCACCTCATTGGCTTTAACCACCCTGCCACACTGTTGCATAGGTATGTGTATTTATTTTACTGTGCATGCTCAGTGGCTAAGTTGACAAAGCTTTTGATGTTATGAGAGGCTCTCTTGTTTATGAGGTGTTCATGGCAACTCCTCAACACTATACTGTAGGGTTCAGATTTTATGACAAATTATTAATGAAAATGTTTTTGTTTTGGCTTATAGTGATAAAGCATATAGATGTGGTGTTACATGAGCATACATGTATCACTGTAATCCTTTAAAAACTGTGCTAAAGGGTAGATTCTTCTTTAGTGAAGATGCAACCTCCATATAATGGTTACCTTTAAAAGGAGATGAGGCAGTGGAGGAAAAATGAATTAAAGAGTGGCAAGGAAGAATAAGTGAAGAGGGGTGAGA